ACCTCTGTGGTCCTCTCCATGGACAACAACCGTAGCCTGGACCTGGACAGCATCATTGCTGAGGTCAAGGCCCAATACGAGGAGATTGCTCAGAGGAGCCGGGCAGAGGCTGAGTCTTGGTACCAGACAAAAGTGAGTATTGAATGGAGGCTGATCAAGGGTATCTGGGACTCAAAATGAATCTGTAAGTCTCTGACGTCATTCGAGGTTAGAGATCTACTGAGAAGAACCTGGGATCCTGAAATAGCAAATGGACTTTGCACTTGGTGTTATGGAGTTGTATTGTAGTCCAAGAATCAAAAGAAACCAGAGGTAGAATGAAGGTTGCCATAAATGGGGCCCACGCTCTCTTTGCTTGAGCTGTACTCAAAATACTGGTCCTCATGAGATTACATAGAACATTTTCAGTCCCCAAAGAACTATATAGTCCACGTTCCCCCACAGCTTCTCTTGAGGAAAAGGTATAACATCAACGATAGTGCATGGCACTCAGAGGTGAATTTGCTTTCACATACAAAACTCACCTAAATGCTCTCTCTTCATTTGACCTTTAGTACGAGGAGCTACAGGTCACAGCCGGCAGACATGGGGATGACCTGCGCAATACCAAGCAGGAGATTGCTGAGATCAACCGCATGATCCAGAGGCTGAGATCTGAAATCGACCACGTCAAGAAGCAGGTAGGATAGTCAGAAAAATTCAGAGGTTGCTGTCCATTGTTTCTGATCCTCTAGACTCTCAATCACTAGGAACAAACATCTTGAGCTCCCCCTCTCAAGAGAACCACATTTCAAGTTAGTTTTTCTTACTCTCTCTGCCCAGTGTGCCAACCTGCAGGCTGCCATTGCTGAGGCTGAACAGCGTGGGGAGATGGCCCTCAAGGATGCCAGGGGCAAGCTTGAAGGGCTGGAGGATGCCCTGCAGAAGGCCAAACAGGACATGGCCAGGCTGTTGAAGGAGTACCAGGAGCTCATGAATGTCAAGCTGGCCCTTGATGTGGAGATCGCCACCTACAGGAAGCTGCTGGAAGGAGAGGAGTGCAGGTGAGGATATTCACCCCTCCCCCCAGCCCCTGAAGACACCTCCATGATGCCAGGCACTGAGCACAAGATGAGGGAGGCACCAGCTGTGGCCACAATGGCTCCATTCAGAAACCCTCTGCTGGGGATTCTCTTTGAACCGTCACCAGACTGGGGGTTCCCACAGGGACTGAGGTGATGGCTCCCTGGTTCTCACCTACTCTGTTCCTCTTCCAGGCTGAATGGTGAAGGCGTTGGACCAGTCAACATCTGTAAGTACTCTGCTTGCTGCCTCCCCTTGCCCTGCCTTGCGCCTTGCTCACTGGACAGAGTGGCTCACCGTGTCCCTTGTACCCTTCCCTCCTCCACAGCTGTGGTGCAGTCCACCATGTCCAGCGGCTATGGCAGCGCAGGTGGTGCCAGCAGCAGCCTGGGCCTGGGAGGAGGCAGCAGCTACTCCTACGGCAGCAGCCATGGCCTGGGAGGTGGCTTCAGTTCTGGCAGTGGCAGAGGCATCAGCGGTGGCTTCAGCTCCTCTGGTGGCAGCTCCTCCACCATCAAGTACAGCAGCACCTCCTCCAGCAGGAAGAGCTACAGGCACTGAAGTCCCTGCCCCCAGAGCTGGTCCCTGACCCCAGACCCCTGGCTGCAGAGCCCTGTGCTCAGGGGCTGGCCCTGCTGGCCTCCCACCTCTGCTCTCTGGTTAGGGCTGGGGAGCTGAGTCCTTGTTCCTCCTCTGTCTGTCCCCGCTGGGTCCCCATGACTCATCTTCTGATTGTCATCCTCTGACTTCACATCATAGTTCACTCACATTTGGTGCTTCAAGTTGTATTTAGGTTTCCAGGCTCCTGCCTCCCTGGCTCTGTCTCTGATGCTGCTTGTGAAATGGTGTCCTTGTCCCTTTCATCCATTCTGGAAACCATTGTCTGGGTCCTACTCAAGAAAACCGGAGCTTTCCTTAAGTTTCCAGTGGCCTGAGAAAAGCCCAGCTTCAATGTCACTAAGCTCTCTGGCAGTACCTGTGATAGCCTAAGTCAACAGTCCTGTGATGTATGGAGTCCGTGCTCATGTGACCTCTCCTCTGCTCTTTGCTTTCTTGAAATTGCTAAATAAAGCAGGTTTATAACATAATGACTTTCTTCAACTGTGTTTTTGTTTTTTTGTAGCAAATTGTTTTATACAGACAGTCTGCAACCTTGAAGATAAAGCCCTTAAAGTTATCTTTATTGCTCGATATCCACATATGAGAGGGGACATGTTGCATTTGTCTTTCTGAGTTTGGGTTACCTCTCCCAAAATGATCTCTGCAAAGACCTCTATGTCAGAATGTATTGTTTACATTAAACTCACCATATTCTAGAAAGCACAAAACACCAAATTTCATACAGGGATAACTCAATAATCAGAATACCTAAAACCCTATTAAACAAATAGAATCACTAATACATATGCTTAAAAAGGAGAATTATGACAGCAGCCCAGAAACTTCTTCTGTGTGACTTCTGTGTGAGAAGAGTCAGGGCAAAAAGGACAGGCTTTATCCTCAAGGGAATACCAAGAGGAAGAGCATGGGGACTGGCATGAGAGAGGACAAGGTCCTGATAAGTGTGGCCAAGAGGAAGACGACTCCAAAGAAACAGAAAACAGTGCAGGGCTCCAGCCTTAGCTCCCTGGGCAGGAGGAGCCACACTCACAAACACAGGGGAAGCCAGGTAGCTATGGAAAAACTGACTGGCAGATTTCACCACAGGGCAAGCCCATGGTTCTCACAAGTCTGATCCCATCGGGGACCCAGTGTGACAGTCACTCCTCTGCATGTCCATCTGGCTTTGAAGAAGAAATCCATTTGGCCACTTGTACTGGCTGGTTTTGTGTGTCAACTTGACACAAGCTAGAGTCATCGGAAAGGAAGAGCCTCAGTTGAGGAAATGCCTCCATGAGATCCAGTTATAAGGCATTTCTTAATTAGTGATTGATGGGGGAGGGTCACGCCATCATGGGTGGTGCCATTCTTGCCTGATGGTCCTGGATTCTATAAGAAACCAGGCTGAGTAAGCCATATGAAGCAAGTCAGTAAGCATCACCCCTCCATTGCCTCTGCATCAGCTCCTGCCTCCAGGATCCTGCCCTGTTTGAGTTCCTGTCTTGACTTCCTTCACTGATGAACAGCAATGTGGAAGTGTAAGCTGAATAAACTTTCCTCCCCAGCTTGCTTTTTGGTCATGTTGCTTCTTTGCAGCAACAGAAACCTTAACTAAGACACCGTTCCCCACTTCTCAGAGTGCTGGAGCTAGGCATTGTCTTAAGATGGCAGCTATTGTTTGCAACTCAGCTGTTGTCAGGACCTGAAAGCAAAGGACATTCAAACACCCTCCCACCCAAGAGGAGCAAAGAGAGGCACTTGTTCAGAGGAGGAGACTTAGTCAAGGACCCACTGAGAAATGCAAGCATCAGGGAGTCCTGTTTTGAAGGGTGTGGTAGTCAGTGGCTTCATTCCCACTGTGAGAAAGAAAACCTGTCACCTGAGGATGAACTCCAGAGCCCAAAGCCAGCACACTGCATAAGAATATCAGCTATGAAGACATGGTCAATACTACATGCAGATAGCAAAATAGACAAAAATGAATGAGCATGGCCATTCTGCTCAGGAATGTGTGGACACATTCAACAGCTCAAACCTAAGCATCTGTGGAGCAAAGGAAAGAGCTGAGATAAAAATTGAAGGCATAAACAATGATGCAATGAAATTATAACAGAACATCCCCCAGATAGAGGAGAAAACATTGATATCCAAATACAAGAGACACTTAGAATCCCATATAAATTCGCCTAGAAGAGAACATTTCCAACTTGCCTTCTAGGTAAACCTGCCACGGCTATATGACAAAGAAGAAAGAGGAGCTCTCCAATCCTGCTAATAGTGCAGCCACTGTGGACCTCAGTGTTGGTACTTCTCAGAGGACTGGAAATGGGCCCAGCCTATGTCCCAGGCATACACACCAAATTATATAAGTCAGCATATCAGAGACACCTGCACACCCATCTTCATTCATGAACTCAGTCTAGATGTCCATCATCTGATGAATGGATAAAGAAAACCTGGCACATATACTGTGGGATTGTAGTCAACCATAAGGAAATAAGTTATGGCATTTGGTAAGAGAACAGATGGAACTGGAGTTCATTACGAGAAGTGAAATAAGCCAGACTCAGAAAGACAATCTTTGCATGCTTTCTTGCATATGAAGAATGCACACATATATATATGCATCAGCATGTGTGTGTGGGTACATGTGTTTGTATGAGAGAGAGAGGAAGAGAGGGAGAGAGAGGGAGAGAGGGAGAGAGAGAGAGAGAGAGAGAGAGAGAGAGAGAGAGAGAGAGATACAAAATGGAATCGAAGGAGGTAAAGATCTGAAGGTAGAGACAGGACAATGAGAGGGCCCTCTCAACCCAGCCTCATTTCAAAGAGTCAGTTTACAATACCTAAAAACACATTTTACCTGAAGCCCTCAGCCACACCCAGCAGGATCCCAGAAGAATTCCTTAACAGGCAACACACAGTCACCACACCCTCATAAGAACTAGAGAGGGCAACAGAAACCAAGGAACAACACACCCAATAAAAGCAAGACCAGATATCGGCACCTTGAATTACAATCATCATAAACCAAGATGCCTAGATGCCAGCACAAAAACCCAATCAACAGCAGCCATGACAATGTGTCTCCACCACAGCCAGGCATCCAAACACAGTAGACCCTGGGAATGGGAACATAGCCGAAGTACTGAACAAAGACCTAAAAACAGACTTTATGGATATGACAGAGATCCCAGAGAGGAAATGAACTGATCCCTTAAAAATCCTACAAAAAACACAAACAAACGGGGGAAGGAAATGAAGAAAACACTTCAACACCTGAAAGTGGGAATAGAATCAAGAGAGAAAACCAAAGTGAGGGAAATCTAGAAGTGAAGAATTATGGAAATCAGACAGTAACCTCAGAGGCAAGCCTCACCGGCAGAATACAAAATATGGAAGAGAGAACTTCAGGCATTGAAGACATAATAGGAGAAACAGATATCTGGATGAAAGGAAATGTTAAATCTTAAAATACCCTGGCACAAAACATTCAAGAAATCTGGGGCACGATAAAAAAGACCAAATATATGAATAACAGGAATAAATGGAGGAAAAGATACCCAGATGAAAGGCACAGAAAACATTTCAACAAATCATAGAAGGAAATTTCCCTAAACCGAAGGAGATGCCTTCTACAAGAAGTATACAGAACACCAAGTAGAATGGATTAAAAAAGAAATTCCTCTCAGCATATAATAATCAAAACACATAGACATAAAGAACAAAAAAAGAATATAAATGCTGCAAGGAGAAAAGACCAGATAACATAGGAAGGCAGACCTGTGAGAATAGCATCTGACCTCTCAATGGAGACTCTAAAAGCCAGAAGGGCCTGGGCAGATGTTCTACAACTCTAAGAGACCACAGATGCCAGCCAGCACTATTAGACCCAGTAAAACTTCCAATCACGACAGATGGAAAAATAAGACACATTACGATAAAACCAAACTTAATCAATATCTATCTATAAACCCATCCCTACAGAAGGCACTGGAAGGTGAACTCCAACCTAAAGAGGTTAAATACATGCAAGAAAACACAAGGAATAAGTAATCCCAGAGCAGCAAATCAAAAGAGAGGTAACACACACACACACACACACACACACACACACACACACACACACACACACACCACAAATGACACACACAGCCAAATAACATGAATTAAAAAAAAATCACTGCTCACTGATAACTCTCAACATCAATTCCCCAATAAAAAGGGCACAGAATAGATGTGAAAAAAGGCTCCAACCTTCTGCTGCATCCAAGAAACACACTTTAATATCAAGAACAGACATCACCTCAGGGTACAGAGATAGAAAAAGATATTCCAGGCAAACAGACACAAGAAACAAGCTGATATAGCCATTTTGATATATTACAAAATAGACTTCAAACCAAACCTGATCAGAAGAGATAAGGAAGGGTACAGCATACTATCAAAGGAAAAATCCACCAGGAGGAAACTGCAACTCTTCTTTCCCCAAGTATTGCACTTTATTCCACCAGTGTGAATGTCCAGGTTAGGGCAGTTCACAGACAGAATGGAAAATGAGTGGTGTACAGGGGTGGGAAGCAGGGGGCATTTAGGAGAAACTTCTAACCTTCAAGGATTTTTTTTGGAAATAATAGAAACACCCTGTGATTAGATGCAAGTTTGTCACTTAGTAACTCTTTGTACCCTTCAAAAAGGAGAATTCTAGACTATGTGCACTTTAATTTCCACTTTTAAAAAGCATTAAGGGGATGCCTAGCTAGAGGACAAGACCACTTGATGAGCTCACCCTCAGGACCCGCTATGAAGCCTGAGTCATAAGCAGGATATGTAACCAGTCAGATTCTGAGTGAGGGGTGTTTGCACGGCTTCAGTGGTTTGTAGCACCTGGTCCCTCCCTTGGTGAACAAATCTCCTTGGTGGGCAGAGGTCCCCTGACTCACCTCTGGGCACATAGCTAGGTCATGACATCAGCAAAGTGACAGTCTGAGCCTTCTGTTCCCATTTGGAAGAGCCTCTAAAATACTGTAGATGACTGGGGTTAATGCAAGTTAGGACATGGCAGGACCTGCACACATTTGGTATCATTATGCCTATCTGGACAAGATGGAGTCCACAAGATCCTTAAAGAAGAAGGGTAAAATATCCTATATCCTCAGTCTGAGGATTAATGTTTCCTGGTGGCCTGCTGGGAACATCTATGACTCCATTTAGAAACATTCTAAATTCTCTTTCATTTTCTGTTTTTGTTTTTCCAAGACAGGGTTTCTCTTTATAGCCCAGGCTATCCTGGAACTCACCTGTAGGCCAGACTGGCCTCAAACTCACAGAGATCCACCTGCCTCTGCCTCCCAAGTGCTGAGATTAAAGGCATGTGCCACCACTGCCCTGCCCAGATTCTTGTAATCTCTTGATAAATAGCCAAGCATTCCACATGAGCATCTGGCTGAGTTAGAGGTCCCCTGGGGGGGCAAGGACGACCA